GCTACATTGTTGAAAAGCAGCAAACACCCCGCATGCACACAATCTTAATACAAGTACAAATGTACATGCCTCCTTAGGAATTTCATTAGCCTGGGCTGCTGCAGGCACTTTTAAAATAGAGAGCGGGAAGAAAAAGTAAGGTGGTCAGAAATAAAAGAAGAACTATTCCAGGCATTGATACTCTACCTCCCCTGCAATAAAGGCTATTGTGGCAAAATAGCAAGAGGTCCCCAATGCTGCTTCCGTATTAACGAACGTGAATATTCCACTGATTATAAGCAAGATCTAATACAGGTGTACTTCATGTAGAGAGGACAGAGTGAGAATGCGCATCTGGAAAAATGAAGGTTAATTTCACGCTGAAAAGTAGAAAGAAAGTGTACAGAAGCCCCCACCACTGAAACATTGTGTGATGTGGCGTATGCTACTACTTTCTAACACAAAATCCGCCTTGACCTGTCCCTCTGCTGTGTACCCTCACAGATGCCGTATTAACCCACCAGATGGGGTTGTGCGGCTGTGACAGGGCGCAGCCCAGAAGAGAACCAGCCCCGATCCCCTGTGTTCAGGCATACGCTAGTCACACGTCCAAATACCCCCACATACGTTGGAGGATTAAGGAAAAAAATCCCATTAGTTGTGGTATTATATTTCTAATAATTTGTGTCCGAGACATAATGAAAAAAGTCACCATATTCCCTGTCGCTTTGTTTCCTTTCAGGGGGACAGGAGAGACCAGCAGTCATGTGAAACATCTCAGTGTACACAGCTTTTATACCCCTGCTGCCAGCCGGATTGCCTCTTACTTTAATTGGCTTTTGGACACTTGACAGTTCTGCAGCTTGCACTATCTCTCATGGTGTTGATGCTAATCAAGCAGCTCTGTGCTCCCCATGAGACCAATTTGTGTGGACAAAACTTTCCCCTAAGTGCCCAGTATCATATGGCTCTCATTTTTTCACAATTATGATGAGGGAAAGAACTTTATTGTGCTTTTCATTTAGTGCCCTGTGAAAAACGACAGACGAAATGCACGCCATATGGGCAGGATATTAGAGAGCTCGCATACAAAACGCTGGCAGATCTTAAAGGGTGGCAGAGAATCAGACAAGTAATACTCTGGGATAGCTAGCAAACAGCAAGATGTTTGTTAATCAGAAGGGTTTAATTTATTTACAGTACAGAGCAGAGATGTCTTGGCTCTGCCGTGGAAGACACAAAACAAAACACTACCGAAAAACTACTGTGTAAGAGCTTAAAGAAACGCATCGCATTTAAATCATAGAGTTTTAATCAGTAGATTTAACGTGTCAATGTGTGCAAAACAGAAAAAAATGCAACTGTTTTATTGAAGTCACATTTTGTTTCAACCGTGATGACCATGTCTTCATGGATAATAACGAGCTGAATCAAATCACGCTAAATAGCCTTTGTGTGCACTGACCAAGCCCAAAAACATCAAGGGTGATGAGAAGTGAAGACAGTAAGACAATCAGTCAGGTGAAGTAACAGAGATAAAGAAAATAAGGGGAGGGACAGTGCAGGGAATTTGCTTGCATGAAAATTAACTTCTTATCTTGCGTTTAAAATTAATGGGGAATTATCCTATGAAAATGCATGAAAACAGGAGCTTCAGGTGATAAGTATGTTTACTGTTCCTCTTAGTTCTGAAGCGCAAACCTTAAAAATATCCCATTTGTTAAAAAGTCAACTGTAAAAATGTAAAAGATCCCTATGGAGGAATTATTTACTGAGAGAATGAGTACATAAGCACTCTAGCCTCTGTTGTAGAGGACATGTAATAGTAACACCATAATAAAGAAGAATCAGAAATAAAAATTGTTTGTGCGAAACCTAAGCTAGGAGTTAAAACATTATCCTCTCCTTAACTGGCAGATCTATAGGTAGTCCGTCTTCACCAAATACTGAAATATCTGTGGCAAAGAGAGAAAATGTTTTAGATTCTGCCATAGTGAAGTAAACGTCTGTCACCTGTCCAATGTGGGCCCTTTTTTTCAGAGACATCAGTGTATCAGTCAGGTTAACCCTCCCAATGTTCTCCAAGGCTGTATGAGATCTTGAACATTCTGTCTGTAAATTGTATTGATCTGCGGGATATGAAATACAGAGCATTGTGCTTTGCCAGTGTCCTCACTGCGCATAGCTCCCTCAGAAGAATGCTCTGAGCCCCCAAAGATATTAGTCACAAACACTAGGAGCAAGGTTTAAGTTCCAATTGCCTATCAAGCTCAGATTTTGAACTATTTATAAATCACTCAAAAAAACCAAGGAATAAAATTATTCTTTTTCATCAAACTGCTCAAGTAGATGTTCTTCCATAGTACAGTCCTCTAAGTTCTTAAGCTACTAATTGTATAAGCCACACAATAACATTCATTGCTTCTTTATAACACATCTTCTCTAATTGGCACAGATATAAACCCAGATGTATGCAGAGATTAATTAAGTGAAGTGAAGGTTTACAAACCCTTTCAGTTTATTTCTTAAAGTGAATCAAGGCATTCATTTAATGCTTAAAGCAACACAGTACGACTGATATTCTGAAATATATTTCTCTTTTCATTTTCCAAAGTTTGTAGCAGGCACAAAACAGAAAGCAGAATCCTCACTGAAAGCTGTAATTGGTCTGTCACTGTCCTGACATTTTCACTGTTTTACTGCATAATTATACTGTGACCTCAGTCCAAGGAATGGGGGAATGTGTGACCTTTATTGACAGGTGGCCTTTGCATTATGGGTGTTGAACACACAAACATGATATGTTCAGCAGTGGAGAAGGCAGTCTTTGTAGGCAGGCTCTCAATTTAAGTGGGAAAGGCGACTGTATGACAGGGACAGTGAAATATCCCATCTCGCTCTCTTTTTTGCTTCTGATGCCGAAAAGGAGAAATAAAATCAAATAAATATCATACCATAAAATTTTCCTTCCAAAAGTATGACCTTTGCTTTTAAGCTAAAAACCTGATTGAGGCTTCTCAGATAAATATGCCTGCTGTCAGTCTAGGTGACACCTGAGCCTGTAGCTCTTCGGTTCGACACTGGGATAGCCACTCGTCTCTTGCAGACCCCCGATCATTTAAAATAAAAAATAAGAACTGAAAGACCCAGGTAGTTTGATGTGTGTCAATAAAGGTTACATGCATGCACATCTGAACTTTAAATTGTGCAGCTTAAGGCATTTTATTACAGTACTGCATGTGTTGTGGAAGCAGAAAATCGTTCACCTTTAAGTATTTATAAATATTTGTGTTTTGAATTATTTGCAGGCCTCTCTAAACAGACACTTCAAACGGAGGTCAAGCTCACTGTTTTCAGTTGTGTGTCAAATGCAGTCACTCCAAGCCTTTTTCGCAAAAAGACTGATTACTAGTTTGGCTTGCTTCAAACACTAGATCAGTCATCTCAAGCAGGATTGTCACTGTAAAAAGTAAAACTGCGTAATTATATGTCAAAGTAAAAGACTTGACAGGGAGGACAAGTATACAGTAATATGATTGGCACGATTATCCTTTTAACTAGAAGATGGACTCTCTTGAGCCCTCTACTGTGCATCAGCCTACACAGTGTGACAGCTCAAGAAGGCTTTTCAAGCTTTGAATGGACTTGTAGCTATTCCCAAATTCAGAAGTTTCCTGACAAAAGCTTATTTTTTGTCATCTTTCAATACATGTACTGTAACAATATAGATGACACTGGAAATATCACAACATCAAACACAGAGGGAGAAAAAAATTGAAATAGACCTCACTTTCAAATGATGTTTTTCCCATCTTTAATTGATTTGTGAAACAAAGCAAACGTCTTTTGATCAATATTGTAAATTCTCTCTCTTCTTCTCCTAACACTTATGGTTCAATTTTGGTTTTGGAGCACAAAGCAAAAGAATACTTCTGCAAATCTTCTGATCCTTGATCGAGGAATGAAACCTGTATCTTTCAGTCTCCCTTGTAATAATATAATGTAATATACAGTCAGTGTCTTTCAATATTTACTCTTCCTTCACAGAGAGAGGCCATCTATAGTACTATTTGTGCTGGTCAGTGATGGTTCTCCTTTCCTAGGAATAAAAGTTAGAATGCTTGTCTAAACCTTATTTCTGAGGTCTGGTAAAACATATAAATATATACACAATTAAAACCAACTTTTCATGCCTTATGACAGGTGCTTACAGTCCTTGATATATTTGTTACATTACTGTTCTAAAAAAATGGTCATTTTTCACTTGCTGCAGGAAGATTAAAATAATCCTGTTAAAAAAAGGAAAATGGGACAATGCATTAAAAAATTGCAAAGCTAGTCATAACATACTAGGTATTTTACATACATACTAATATATTTTACAAGCTTCGGATCAGAGACGCTATATTTGTCTGTCAAGTTTTTATCTTTTACATGTTACTGACGCAGAAGATCAGACTTGCCACAGCCATGGGAAAAATACAAAGCATCTAACAGCGCCATCTAGTGCCGATGTTATGTACTACTTTGTGATCAATACCGATAGCGATGCAAGGGGACCGAGGAGTCATCCGACGCGAAATGCATTCACTGAGACCAGGAAGCACGATGGGGTGCGAAACACCAAAACATCCGCAGGCTTTACGAAGAAATAAACAGACTAACAAAAACTCAAAGCGACATAAGATTGTTAAAAACCTAAAAAAAAAAAACTAAATTAAATAACCTTCATTTTATGATGTTGCATTTTCAAAGACGGCAAAACAGAAGTCAGCATATAAAGCTGGTCACAGCAGCCCCTGTCCCTGTTACAGAGAGATGTAAACTCCAGTCACTGTGAATAAGGTGAAAGCTCCCTTTCCACAGAATTTCTTATTCTTGCCAAACACATCCTCCGCTTCACACTGCACACCTGCCAGGCTATCAGCTATTCACAGACTCCTGGCTTTAATCCTCCGCAACAAACTGAATACATGAAAGACAATGAGCACACACAAGTGTAAAATCTGGCCTCTACTCACTGTGCTGTCTTCCTTATCTATGCAGCTGCTGCACTCAGCTTTAGAATCCTGGAAGAGAGGAATTGCCTGTTAGTTGTTTTATATGTTATGTGCATTTTAAAGGTCTTTACATCATCTTTCAACCCACACAGATTGGGGACCTGTAGGTCATTTTAAGGTAAGAATATTGAAATGGCGAAAGGGTCATAACCGAAGCACACAAATTAAATGTATTCTTGCTATTTAAAACAATCTTTACCACATGAAAGTGAAAAACAAAACTGAAGTTCCTCGAAACGCCACCAGAGGTCAGTGGCCTTTTACTTCACTGTAACGTGGGAGAAGGCAATGCCTGCAGTGCCTGTATTGTGACGGATTACACATCAACAGCTGTTTTTAAGGCATTAGAAACGCAGCACAGGCACCACATTCAGCTGATAACTCATTCCTCAAAGACTCCTGACAAACTGGTACCGATTAAATGTACTAGTTACAATACAGACTCAATCGAATCTACATTTTTATGCAAGGAAGATGGGCTCAGCCTGCCTGCGCAAATCACATTGTTTTCGTGAGAGGGCTGCACATGACTACTGCACAAAACACCCAACATGCATTATAACAATCAGAGCGTAAGGGTACAAAACCGGCCTGGGGAATTCCTGCAGACAATCCAAACTAATCTGTTCACAAAACAGGAGAGACAGTCTCAAAACAGCGGCACAGCAGGGCAGAGTACCTCGGCAAAGGTAAAACACGAAGCTCTCGTGGCAAAGATAACACAGCAGCCCTTTCATCGTCGGCATTTTCCTGATGTTTGGAGGTGCTGCAGCGATTAAAATCACAGGGCCTGACAACCTCCACATCCAACTTCAATTACGATTACTGACATTTCTTTGTTATAGGTCAAAATGACAGAGCCCGTCAGACTGAGGCCACAGGCAGGTTAAAGGAAGACACCAGTGTGTGAAAGAGCTCTGCCTTAACACAAGCCACCATCCTATCGGGACGCTCAGAGTGAAAGTCAAGCTTATGCCTAACCAGCCTGTCACCGTATGAAAGTAATTAGCGCGCACACCCTCAGCTAAACTCAGAACGAGGGGAGCAGACAGGCAGAAAATTATAAAGCAAACCCAGGCTTAGAGGTGGAGCTCAGAGACTGCCAGAGAGGACTGGCTGCTGTTTAGGCGAAGCCCCCGCCAGCAGGTGGGGGAGTCACTCCCACATCCCCTGGTGGGGTCTGTGCTTCACACATCTGAGCAGGCATGGATTTTGTTAGGGGGGCACCCATCAACATCTCTGACAGTGCAGGGTCTTTAGATCAACACACCTCTTAAAGGCCATTGATCAGAATTGTAGTAAGAATAATTGCTAACACTTATATAGTGCTTTTCTGGACACTCCACTCAAAGCGTTTTACAGGTAATGGGGACTCCCCTCCACCACCGCCAGTGTGCAGCCCCACCTGGATGATGTACACCAGGTTCTGGGTATATTTGACTAATGAGCTTTCGGATATGATTGCCATTAACTTCAGGCATGGCACAGGTCCATCTATAACTCAGAAATGTATTTTTCAAGGCGGGGCGGAAACTGGGATTCCTTTCAAAAAACAGCTCTTGAAGGCACTCACTTTTAGAAATTGTTTTTGTGGAAGGAAGTGCAGCTACAGTAGATTGCTCTCTCGTTGAGCAAAAAGGATGAGTCTCTCTCTGTTATCTGTATTTTTTTATTAGCTTATTCCCTTGTTCGAGCTTGTCTGCTCTGTTTTAAAAACTGGAAAACAACATTAAAATCAACTCGCATTGTTTTCAGCATTCGTGAGGGACTCAATTAAAAACGTGGACCAATAGGTTACAAAGAAGCATAGGTGGCATTTTAATTTCCTACACATTCTGATGGGTAGCACCCTCCTCTAGCAGTTCAGAAACAGTAAAAACAGACAGTACAAAGAACAGCGAAGGGTAACTGCTTCGCAACATTTGCTTCATGCTGTCCAAATACATGGTGTGTATGGAAACTGCTCAAGTGAAGGTCAGTTTGACAGGTGTGGGTTGATAGCAGACAAGTGTCAAGTGTCTCTCTCGTGATAGAGCATTTCAGTATTTGCCCCGTGCAGCTATAGAGGTTTAAACTGTTTGGCTGTGCTCTAGTTCTGCACAGCTCTCTATGGAGGAGAGTAGCATAAATTCTCTTTGTATGAGTGTGACTGGCTGGCTGTTGGGAGGTGTCACTCTGAACAGAGCAAAAGATGGAATATCATCATCCACTAGACTTGTTTACACTCTGCTGAGTCACTGTGCTCACAGCTCTCCCAGCTTCAGAACAGCCCTCATAAAAGAACCAGAAACACATTATGTTTCTATATTCCATACTTATGTGTAAGTCTTAGACCTAATTTACACCTGAATTTCAACTCTCCTGCCAAGATCAAAATGCAAACCCAGTTCTGAAAGGTATGTTCTAATTAGCAGAAGCAACTGCTCAGTACTGGGATTATCACCAGAGACTAGTGACTGGGTTAACTATTTGACTAACTGGGAACTGAGGTATGAGGATAACACATCTTCAGAATTTACAAAAAGAGAGAGAGTAGAAGCGCATTAAACAAGAACTTGACAGTCCCTCAATTAAAGACAAGCTATATGATTAAGACATGTGTGACCTCCTCTGTTGCCTCTCTCAAGCCAAGACAAAGTCTTGAGAACAAAAACAGCAGATGATCCTTGCAGTGTAATGACCAAACCTGGCCAGAAGATGGCAGTCATTACACAGAGCACAACCCAACAATGCCTGGCAGCATTGTTACCTGCTGCCAGAGTAGTAGATAAACAGTTACAATTTATAAGATGACACACACATACTTGTGACTTCAATGTGTATTTTTTTTGAAAAAACCACTTAAGTATGTTGTCCCTTTCTTTCTTTTAGAAACTTAGTCAATACCTGCCAATGTATGTCCTGTATAGCAGTTAAAAGATCCAAGCTTTTGTTCTTTAATATCACCTAAACCAGAGTTTAACATCAACAAAGCTGATCCATCCTCCAGTCTGCTATACTGTATAAACTGTATAAAAAGGCCCATATGATGAACAAACAGAACATTTCTGTTAAGTGCTTCTGTCAGAAAAAAACCCCAGAAATACCTGTTCTAGCACTATAGTTAAGACCACAATAATCCATGCCAATAATAAATTTCAATCTCATAATTTCATTTAGACCTACATTTTCATTCCATTTTCCCCCAGATTACACAAAAGGATGCATATTTCAGTGAGATTAAGACGCTTTTTAAAATTCACTTTATATATTCTTGAATGGATTTTACATTTAGTTATACACTATACAAGAAACTGGTAAAGATATCTTTTAATGTGCCATTTAAGGCACCTAATAAAGAAAAGCTCTTTGGAGAACAGCAGTATGGATAAATGCTACAGGATGAACCAAAGCATTTCAAAGATTGTGTGCTGTGAACATTAAATGTGTGTGTTGGAGGCAGAGGAAGAGATTCTACTGACAAGCCTGGGGGAGTCTGGACTCTGCAGTTTAAGACCAAAGCTATTATTATGTGCTTTACAGTATATTGAGCATGCACTTTCCTATAAAAATATGCTTGGTCCTTTTCACCTCATATAACACGATCAATAACAGAATCAATTTAGTCTGCGTGAATTCATGATGCATGGAAAGTGTCTTGTAACTCATTAATATGAGAGAGACGGTACTCAGCACTTCCTGGTCAATCCAATCACTAGAGAGACTATTTTCTTGCAAGACTTCAAAAAAGCAGATGCTTCAAATGCGCCTGTTAGTAATGCCTATATTTCACACACATGTTAAATACCAATTATAAACTTACCATGCTATTACCTGTCACTAGTGCTAATGCTACAAAATATATCAAACACCTAGATTGTTTAATAGGTCTGCATCGATAAAATACACACAAATCACGGGTAGCACATAGAATTTATCATTTTAAATGCACTGTACAAACTGTGGCTTTCAACTCAAATTATAATAACTTTAAATAGCTGAAGATCTTTTCCCTGCACCTGCCAACATTTCAATTAAACACAGTTTCACTGTACGCATCATCTGACGCGTGGGGTGAACTACATCACCACGCTACAGAAAGCCATTTTAACTATAGTATGTATTTGGTAACCAGAAAAGAAAAGTGTCTCCTCAGTGCCCGTGTTCATGTAATTTACCTTATGTATTGATTTTTTTTTATGTTATTTAAAATGTGTTTTATTCAGGAAGCATAGAAATTAGCCAGATCATTTTCAAACTTTTCTCCCTGACAAAAAAAAGTCTTCATAGCCATAAATCTTCCAGTAGCACTCTACAGATTGTATCTGCCTGCTGCCCTTTAAACATCCCATTCCAACACACACACACACACCCACACACATGCAGACTTGATCTATGACACCAATCTTATTTTGCATTCACACTTCCAAGGTCTCTCTCTAATCCTGCACATTTTTTTAGCCGTTTGAGTTTTTAATATTCATCTAGTCTCTACTAATCTCCTGAAAATCACACCATACCCTTTAGAAAGCAAACTTCTATCCCAATGGAATAAATGTTACATGTACAGTACGTCCTGGAGCTGAGCTCTTCCAGTTTTATTGGAATTTTGCGTCATGATCATAGCTCCTTCAATACCAGCCACTGCTCTGGTGAGACAAAAACACCACAACCTTCTGAGCAGCTGACAAACTAAACCTTAGTGCTTTTTTATTAACCACATAATAGTAAATGCAATTGCAGTAGTAGCAGCAATAATTTCCCCCAAAACTAGCGCTGAACCTTGAACAAAATCAGGCAATTAATCTTAATATTTTGAAAGTAAGCATCCATCTATACAAAGGTGTTGCAGATGAAACCCAGAATAACACAATTCATTTTGAAAGAGAACTTTTCTGGGATTCATTTGAATCATACTCTTAAAATCCTATGATTTCAATATTACCTTTTAGATGGAACTGGAATGCTAGATGACGCAAAAGGTGTTCCGTACAGTAAGTGTATCCTTTAATTAAGAGAATATTTTTTTT